AAAGCCTCCTTCTTGAATTGAGAGTAGTTCCGCTCGGTAACATTGAGGGTTCGACTTTCAAAACGCAAGGGTCTCTCATTTCCTTCCTGATGTGCTTGTATCAATACTCCCCCTAATGCAATGGGTCCGGCGTCAGTTTCTATTATGAAGGGACGTTCTATGATAGCTTCGTAATCTGAAACTCCCAACACAAGCCCTTCTTCTTCGAATTCCTTCTTCAGGTCTTTCACTACCTTCTCCTGTTTCTCTTCCCACTCTCATGCCTGATTCTTTCTTACCAACTTTCTTACATGCTCAGTCTTGGAAGCAAATCTTTTGATGAATATCCTCTAGAACCCGCATGTCCCAGAAAACATCTTACCTCACTTATATTCATGAAAGACGTTGGCCACTCAAGAATTTTATTCGTCTTCTTGGTGTTCGGACGTCAGTCTTGTTCGTTGCACACAAATCCCATGATGGTGGTCTCGCTCATGAAGTGCCTAGATTTTACTCCATTGGCCTTGAGGTTGTGTTCTTGTAATAAATCTAACACCTTTCTGAAATCATTGACGTGGTCCCATACAAATTTTTTTATGTCTGGTGCAAGCTTCTGTTTATCCCTCACCATTGACCCTTTTACCGCCAGATCATCGATATAAGGTTCTGTAATCTGTGGACTGATTGGTTGCATCACCCTGACCATACTCCTTTGCACCATGGCCACAACATTAGTCAATCCTTGAGGTGCCACGTTCATGTGAATTAATCCTCTAGTAGTGTGCATTGCAGTTATCGGTTTATCCACTGGATAAACAGGAAATTGGTCGTAACCAGAGTAGAGATCTATAAGTGAGATAATAGATCTCCCTGCACATGCCTCAGATACTTGATCAGCGTTAGGGAGTCGTTCAACAGCCCTAACAGTTACTGCATTCAATCTCTGCAAATCTTGCACCACCAAAGTACCCTATTTGGTTTGACGATACAGAACCAAGGTGAAACATAAGTCCGCTAGAAAAACCTGCTACATGAGAGTCAATCTTTTCATCCAGGTATTTCACCACACTCCTCTGATTATCGGGGTTTGGGTATCTGGCTCCTCTAATATTCCAAGGTTGATGCGGAACCGTGTGAATCCGGATTATCTCTACCTTGTCCATATCCAATCTCCCTCTCTACTCATTGGTAACGGCATAGGCGCAATGCTTCTCTTTCATTAAGTCGATTACTAACGTTTTTTCTCGCTTAGTCAAAAACTCAAGCTCCCCAATGATCAAATTTTTACGAGTCTCTTCGTTAATACGGTAGGACTCTGTTTCCTATTGCTCTCTCACCTGTCTTATTAATTCTCGCTCTTGCTCATAGTACACTCCTTCTTCATGCGTTACTAAGACCGGAACCGGGTAACTCTTCTTGTCTACTATCTTGTACCTCTTTTTTCCTCCTTGCTTGAGCTCAACCCTAAAAAATGTTGGCCGCTAGCCTGAGCATACGGTCCCTGCATTCTTTCTTCTTGAAGGGGCGATCTGTATACCAAATTCATTCTCCCCTCTTCAGGGTAATCATACAAGTCAATGCCCGAATTGTTTTTGGTTCCGCCATCTCATAAGCAGAGATCGTGTACATTGTTTGGTCAATGTTAGCCAAGCTCAATGCTAACCACTCATTCTCTTTTTTCTCATCTTTCTCGTTTGATCCCCATTCTAGTTCATTCCTTATATCCTCAGATTCCTCAAAGGTATATGACCCTGCATTGAGGCAGTTTTTCGAACTGTGGGGACCTGTTTTTTTACAGGTAATGACTTCGAAGTTTCCACATGCAGGGTCACATAAAATCACGAACATGGTCCCGTTATGCTTGTTCATGATGATTATCTCTGATCGTGATAAGAAGGACCTTCCTAATAATATGGCAAGATCTAGGCTAGGCATAATGTAGAAGCAGAAGCGGACCTTGACTCGTCCTACTTCAACGATCCCATTTGATGCAATCAGCGTTGTCGAGCGGGGATCCCCGGGGGCAAAGCCGGTGTGAGGCTGCGGCCCCCGGACCCCCGCCGCGGGGGCCATCCAACCCCGCCACCGTCGGACGACCCCCG